CCTTATAACATGATTTTAATATATTTATTTGGAGCTTCATCAGCCACAGCTAATGCTGCTTCTATTCTTCCTGGAGATCATTAAAATAAAGTACATTCAAAGTTAAACCAAAATGATCATTATAGATCATAATATTTAACAACAAAATTACATCTGACCCACATGGACATTTCCATTCACAATTCGTAGTGTAAAAACTCTAATTTGCATTAAGCCAAGATCATCATTGGATTTCAATACAACAATTACATCCATGCTAATTTAACCACATATACATTAAACGAGAATAAAATAAATCACATCCATTGGCACAATCCGCTAACAACTTTTTTGGATCAGCTGATCAGATCTCTACCTCTAAACCCATCTGCTGAGGACAACCCCTGCCCATTCTGCAGGAGGACCTTCTTAAGTAACTTTCTACATCTAAAGGGACTTTTAATTTAAAAAAAAATTAACAATTAAAACAACTTTTCATCTGTTTGGTTACCTTCACAGCATGTCTAGTAGCATAATTATGAAGGTCTGAACTAAATGGTAGATTCTGGTAAAGATTGAAATGAATCATAGTAAAAGAAACACTCCTTAACAAACATAGCAGGTAATATTAAACTCCTTCATGGACCAATGGCAACTTTAATTTGTGTTGTATTAATATAGAGCTGTGAAATAAGCTGTGCATTTCCAGAATTTGTCATTTTCCTTATATTAACTATAGTAGTATTAAACTACACAGTCAGGCAGTTGTCAAGATTTGATAAAATGAATGCTTGCACTATTATATGAATGGTTTTTCTTGTCGAAAATTGTGCATCCTAATCATAGTAACTTCTTTCCATTTTAGCTCTCATCCCTTGCATATGATCATTTATTATAAGTAATTATTATTTTTTTTATTGATCATTTATTTCGAACACTTAATAAAAAAGCAAATATAAGTAAATTAATAAAGTCATAACAAAACAAAACAAAACAAAAAAGAAGAAAAAGAAAAAAAATATGTACATACCATCATGTTTGAAAAGGAGTAGGAAGAAGTAATAAAACTTATTAAATCCTACCCCTGTTCTATATTAACATTTACCTGTTTAAGCATACATACATATCTATATATACACACACACACATACATACATACATA